GACAGCGGCGGAGAGCCCGTGAGGCTCCGTGTGTGTGTGTAGGAATCTGCTGAGGTTGAGCGGGTGTGATGGGTCCGTGTCTGTGTTTTCACCAGTCAGACAGCAGATCTGTCCGTCTGCCAGCTCGAGACGCCCCGAGAAAGGATGAAATCAGAAAGAGAGAAACAGATTTAGCCTCTGGTGGGGCTGGCTGCTTTCCTTCTTCTCTTTTCCGTCCAGCTACATCAGCTGAAACTTCTTTTCACAGCTCCTGTTGCTCTCAGCTCATAAACTCACACACACTCCTCTTTTTCACCAGAGAGAGAGAGAGGGGGGGGAGCTGGTGTCTGGTTGGGTTAGCGGGCAGCTTTTGCAGTATGGTTTACATTATTTTACTCCTTTTTTCCCTCAAACACATTCAGTGTCTCCTGGTTTTAAACTCTAAATGGATTCAGTCTAATTATCTGGCCTCAGGGTGAGGGCTGCAGGCTTCGGAGGAGGGGAGTGGAGTTTCGGGTGTTGGAATGCCGCTCCCCGGGACAGAACTCCCTGTCTGACCGCTCCATCCCGAAAGGCCCTCGTCATAAAGACGTTCGTTTTCTTCTCCTAGTTGAAACACTTAGCCTAGTTACAGCTAGTCTTTTATCTGGTGCCAATTAGTCACCGATTAATGAATTATTAAGAACCAGCAAAGAGAGGGGGATTAAATTTTAATGTGGATCTTAGGGGGGGTGGTTGTATTACACGTTACCGCGAGCACGGAGCGAGGAGCCGCCCACCCTCGGCAGCCGTTTACAATAATCCACAGCCGTTTACTAAAGTAAGGAGGGAGGGTTGGCTTAGAAAGCAGACGCCGAACTCAAACTAGCAGAAAGCGCCAGAAACTACAAAACTCCATATGCTGTGACCCAAACCCAGATTCCTCTCAGCACTCAGTCACGTGTGTGTGTGCTCATGCGCTGGATGTGCTTTACGGGTCACCTGTCGCCCCGGCGAACGCTCCGCTCCCCTCCCCTACACTCCCGAGCCGTAATGGGAGATTCGATCTTTCATTAGGGCGGCCGTGTAAGGCCAATACCGGGAGATGCTGAGATAAGGATAATGTATGTCCGTGTTCGGAGCTGGGGAGGATCTTCCCAAGGTGATCGTTCTGGTTCAGTTCCCTCCTCCTCCAGCAGAAACTGTATTGGCTCTTGAGACCTAACTGCTATTGACTTACACAGGGTTAGGAGCGTCTCCGCGTCCACTCTGCTCTCCCCGCTTCTGGTTTCTCTGTTTGTGTTCCACCTCTTGCCTCCGTCCTCTCCGTCCAGCTGCGGTCTGTTCAGGGAACCGGGGGCAGTTGATATAAGTGGGCGGATGCGTCCCTGGGTGACCCCAAGTCTTTTGATTACATCCTTATACACAGATTATTTATAGTTTCTCTCTGGAGCCGGGGATGGCTCCTTTCCCGCCTCACCTCTGTCATCCCTGACACATTTCTGGTTGCATCACCGGCTGCTGCAGCGCCGTAATTAGTAGCTGGATGTGACACATGTTTCCAATTTGCTACGTCTGGTCAGGATGATGGGATGATGGGGGGTGGGGGGGGGGGGGGGGTGACAGAGCCGAGGGGAAGCTGACATAAAAAATGAGATTGATAAGACGATGGCCGCAGGTAGACGGCCATGACTTCACAGCTGCGTATCGCTGAGAAGAGCTGGAGGTTCGCTGACTTCCCACACCAGAGCCTGATTGATACAAACTCCTGCTTACTCTTCACCTCATTTCGGAACTACAAACATGATGTGTGTGTGTGTGTGTGCTCCGGGAGCTTTTCGGACAAGCAGAGGCTCTCAACATATTTCAGCCCACAGCAAAAAAAAAAAACCTTTTTCGCCTCAGGGCGGCTGAAACTAAAGCAAAAGCTCTTGTCGAGTAAGGAGAAACAAGCTCATGAAAGTATGTGAAAGGACTAAGAAAATAAACTCAAGGAAGGCCTAAGCTGATTAGCTATGAATAGTAAGCTCCATGAATAAGCTGCATATACAAAAGGCTTTGTACTTTGAATATATGAGTGAGTAAATCTGTAGGAATAGCTGTGAAGTCTGGCGTCTAACATCCACTAAACACTGAACCCCATTAGGAGACAATGGCGTGGAATCACCTGTTAGGCCTGGACAGCCAGAGCTGCCCTCCCGTGTCCGACTCCCCCCCCCCACCCCCACCCCCCACCCACCGCTGACAAAAAGCCCTCATTAAGGGCTTCGTGCCTCACTTCACAGCAGGAGCCCACGCACAGAGGTGGAGGAGCCAGTCAGGGCCGTAGCCCACGGCACACGGACGCGCCAAAAACATGCTAGCCCCTGAAGGAGCCTCTGGCGTGGGTGTGGGCTTCTGGATGGTCGGGAGGGGGTGGGCAGTCTTCTCCATAGTGAAGTGTGTAATGTAAGCATATTCTCACGAAAATATGAGCCATTCAAGGCCACCGATCCATGCTGATGGTTCCACCGAGCTGGAAAACACCTTTGTTGCAATTTGTTCCCAATTTTCACCTCCATATAAGCTGCCCTTTGGACACCCTCCCCCTCACAGCCTGGTTCCCACCATCCTCATACCCCCCCCCCCCCCCTATTTACCACAGCCGATCAACATGTAGTAACTGGGGTCAGGAACTCCTTTTTGTTTTGAGTGGTTGTGTGTGTGAGTGTGTGTGTGTGTGTGTGTGTGTGGGGGGGGGGGGGGTGACGATACAAAGTTTACAACACCTAAAGTTGTGCCTCATTTCAATATAGATAAGTGGAAATATTCAATGGACCAAAACTGTCCAATGAAAATGTGTGTGTGTGTGTGTGTGTGTGTAACGGGGGGGGGGGGGGGGGGGGGGGGGTTGAAGACAACGACAATGGAGAAAGGCTAGATTAAGAAAGTCAAGTTCTTGATGTTGATTGTTCTTTTGTTTAAAATAAAATCTATCTGACTGACATTGGGAACGCTGGGAATACTCAAACCATCACCACTGGTACTGGTTCCTTCAGTAGAACCAGACCCTGTTGTAATTAAAAACAAAACCTCCCTTCAGTGGACATGCACCTAATAAGGCTCAAGGAAATTGGCAGAGCTGTGAGAAAAGTGGTGTCGGCCATTAGAGCTGGACAGAGGAGAGGTGTTTAAAATGGCATTTCCTTGGCTAGTGCCTGACACCTTCACCAGAGGTGGTGAGGGTGGGGGGTGGAGAGGCTTGGGGACCAAGGTCAACCACCAACAGCAATCAGAGCATCACATAAGTCTTTATTATCCACAGCTTCCATCCTCTGTTGGCCCAGAGAGTTTCCAGTGAGAAGAAACCATCAATTGGACTAACTCAGATTACATGTTTGGATTAAAGTCCAAACACTTCTAAATAATTTTGATTATTTTGGAAGAGCAGAGCAACACACTGATGGGATGGAAACGTAATAGAAAACTCACTAATGCTCTGACAGAGGAGGCTCTTAAACTTTGTGGAGAAGTCTCCATAGCTCTGCGTCTCAGCCTGCAGGAGGTCTAAACTTCTCCTCCTGAGGGAATGCTGCAGGATTCCTACCTTTCGTTCATGGAATTCCAGTAGATTGGCTCCATATTGCTGGCCGTCGTTCCCAGTAAATCCAGTATGAATACCAGCAGGATCCACAATCCATTACCGCTCCCTCTAAACGCCATCTCAACCCTGACTCCCAGTAAATGCGGCCCCATCTACAAGAAAGCAGCAGCACTTTCGGGGCTTAATGCCGCAGTTTTTGTTTCTGTGTGCAATAAAAACCGAAAGCAATGGATTGTGCGCCTAAACCAGTCAAAGTGCGCAGAGAGAGCGTGCCACGCGCATTCACATGGATCCAAAACGAGACAAACTGAGCTGGACTCACAGGGGAAAGAAATCAGAAACACTTGGTTATTTGTTCAATCCGGTGCGTCCAAGTCTCCAAATTCAGCAGGATTTCTGCGCGTCCACGCTAGTTGAATCCCATGATTCCCATACTTTCTACCCAAAACGAAAAGCACTCCAAACAATCAGAATTCTGCAAAATTCTTATTATTGATGGGGAAATGACTGCCTCCAAAAAGCAAATTCTGCTGCCTTTCTTTGCGCTTGAATTGTCTTATTTAGTCCCCCGAACAACGTTCCCTTGTTCTCTTTGGCTTCTGTCTGATTTCTCTCCCATTCCCTTGTTCCCTCGCTGGAATATCAATCTCCCAACATGCCAGGCTAGACTCAAACGGGAATAGTGTCACTCGGATTTAGAGACACAAAGGAGGTGGAAAAACGGGAGAAAATGTGTTTTAAAATAAAAAAGATGTGACTTGTATCCACAGCTCCATCCCCACGAAGGCGCGTTGATGCTCAGTCTGTGCGCGTTACGATCCTCCTTTTTTACTTATTTGAAATAAAAACACAAATAAAGATTGTAAATCCAGATGAAAAACAATAAAAAAAAATCTGCAAAACCTCAGAGTTTTAGAAAAAACTGAGATCCAGTTGATAAATCCGGGGTAAATTCAGGAAATGAAAGTGAGAGAAACAAACCAAAGCTGGAAAAGACGCGAGTCCATAATAACCCAGCCTCGCTCGGGTCAAACTTCAAGTGAAGTGATGAAAAAATAAAAAATAGATTTATATCATCAGAGCTGGGAGCTGTGGGCATCAGTGCCGGCTGGAAACGTGCGTCTCTGTGATGAAGCGCATCATTTGGAGAGCTGAATCGGCCGGAGGAACGCGCTCCGTGCGTTATCTCATCCGTCTCGGCGTCTCACAATCCCACCGGTTTGACTTGCCCTAATGCTCGCAGCGCATTGACAGACCGACTGGCTTGTTTGGGAAGAGGAGGAGGAGGAGGAGGGAATAAGGGGACGTGGATGAATGGAAAAAAATCCCCATCCTTCGACTGGCAGGCGGGCAGGCAGGGCGCACTGACGGAGCGCAATTCTTCTAGGCTTTTGTGGAGAGGTAGAGGGAGGGGGCGGTATCGAGTCCCTTTTAACACCTCCTTCTCTCCTCCTCCCCTTGGACTCGGACCTCCGGTCTCCCCGGTTCTGCGTTCTGCCTCCTTTCAAACAATAACTCCCCAGTGCACGCGCTTCAAACCCCTGACAGAAGAGCAAGAGCGCCCTCAGTGCACCACTCTCGGTGCAGGAGCCCCCCACCCCCCACCCCCACCCCACACACACACACAAAAAAGAATAAATAAATAAAGCTCCAGATGTAATTTTAGAATGATTTTACGCAAATGTCACTGCGAGGTTTCCTCCTATACAAGAGTGTAGGCGTTATTAGAACAGGGGCGCGCCTGAGAGAGCAGCAGGAGAGCCTCTAACACCCCCCCCCCCCCCCCCCCCCCCCCCCCAGCTGATTTGGAGGAAATTATGACACCATTTTTGGATTAAATTTGAGTAATTTGCAAAATTTCATAAAATGGGGGATTGGGGGTGTGGGCAGTACTATGAGGGTCGACGTGTATCTGGCGCTTTACCAAAGCAAATATGTTTAGGAGTATGACGACCCCCATGTGTGAACATCCTGCAGCAGTGAAGAGAGAGGTGACTTGATCTAGAGAGGACCAGGATTTTACTCCGAGGCCCGTGGACTTTTTCCTCATACATGAAAGCTGTCAAACCTGGGCCTCTACTGCCCTCATGTGGCAGCATGGGTGCAGGAACACAACCAGCCTGCAGGTTTGGAGCTTTGGTGTTTGGCTGACTCAGGGAATCCATACAGAATACATACTGCTGGTCAGGCTGTAACTGTTACTTTAAAAAAGTCTGACTCTAAAAAACATTTAAACAGCCTCAAGAACCAAAAATATATTAATTCAATTTACAGATGACAAGCATTCATGGTTGGGTCCAGCAAAATAAAGGAGTTAAACACCATCAGAGATATTTTTAGCAGGTGCAGTGAGAAAGTTCCCAGCCTCAGGAGAAGGAGGGAATACCAGTGTGTGTGTGTGTGTGTGTGTGTGTGTGTGTGTGTGTGTGTGTGTGTGTGTGTGTGTGTGTGTGTGTGTGTGTGTGTGTGTGTGTGTGTGTGTGTGTGTGTGTGTGTGTGTGTGTGTGTGTGTGTGTGACTGATAACTATCTGCCTCTCACCAGAGGATCCCTGTTGCACCAAAGTCTCTTCAGTGACCCTGGACACACTTAAGTGAGTAAATGTTACTTAAATAGCGCCTATCAGACAGAAAATCACAAAGTGTTTCACATAGATCTAAACAAAACAAATAATGTCATAAAAATATAACAATAAAACCAATTTAATTATAAAATACCTTAAAACAAATGAAAGATGATTACAAATTTTGAATTAAAAATATGATGTAGGAGTAAATATAGTTGCTTTAAGGCTTAATATATTACCTTTACTTATGACCAGTAAGCTGTAATATTCTATATACACTCAACAAAAATATAAACGTAACGCCTTTGTTTCTGCTCCGGTTTTTCATGAGATGGACTTAAAGATCTAAAATTCACTCCAGATACACAATATTACCATTTCTCTCATTGTTCACAAATCAGTCTAAATGTGCAACACATTCTCACTCAAAAACAAACGCTTGGTCAGCCACCCTCCACGTCAGACCCCTGACGCCAAAAGTGCCCTTTTTCGTTACTTATGTGCGAAAAGGGGTTTTTCCCTTTTGTAACTGCAGATCCCAATGCAGCGTAAAACTGACGTGATGAGATATCCGCTGATGCGGCACAGAACCAGCTCATTTAACCACACCTAAACCTTAACATTTCACTATTTATAACCTTCCCCTCACCCTCATCCTAACCTTAACCCTCATTTAACCGATGCGGCACCGAACCAGCTCATTTAACCACACCTAAACCTTAAAGTTTCACTATTTATAACTTTCCCCTCTCCCTCATCCTAACCTTAACCCTCTTGCTACCTAAAATGTTACTCTCACTGTGATCAAGCGTTTGTTTCCCACGCATTCTGACTCTGACTGTCAGAGTCTGACTGAATTTTTGTATTTGCCGCCCAAGGGGAACGTTAGAACACACCATCTGGCGAGGCGGAGGTTACAAATACCCTCTGCTTTTAACCTCCACCTTGGTAGTTGTAACCTCCCCCTCGCGTTGGCTCGGTCCAAACTCGACCAATGACGAGGCGGCTCCCGCTTTTAGAGCAATCGACACATCACTAACGTGTTCGCTAGCAAGATGGTTAAGGTTAGGATAGGGGTGAGGGGAAGGTTAAATAAGAGGATAAGGTTAAGGTGAGGTACAATGAGCTTGTTTAGTGCCCTGGCTGCGGACATCCCATTGCGTAAGTTTTACGCTGCATTGGGATCTGCAGTCAAATTAGGGAAAAACCCCTTTTCGCACATAAGTAACGAAAAAGGGCACTTTTGGCGTCAGGGGTCTGAGGCGGAGGGTGGCTGACCAAGCGTTTGTTTTTGACACGCTGGGAGTGAGAATGTGTTGAAACGTGGGATAGTGAGCACCTGTGCTTTGCTGAGATAATCCATCCCACCTCACAGGTGTGGCACATCAAGATGCTGATCTGACATTATGAGGCGTGCACAGGTGTACCTTATACTGCCCACAATAAAAGGCCACTGAGGGGGGTGAATTTTTTTCTCACTCTTCTGTTTAAGTGTATTAAAAGCCTAAAATTATGTATAATTAATGAGCATCAGACCCACGTGACCACAGAGCTAGCTCCGGGGAAAGGTCTCAGTAGAGCCTCGGCCTCGCCTGAAAACTGTTCTGTCATTTTCAGTCTCTCAACTTAGACCACTAGTTGTAGCGTTTATGCGTTCTTTGTTGGATATTATTTGTGCAATTGTTGGACAAAATGACTTGCTGTGGCATTAATTGCACTAATAGAGCATCCAAGGAGTCGCCACTTCATTTTTTTCAGTAAGTAAAATTATATTTATGTATTTTAGGTCACTGCCGAGCTGAGCTTAGATTTTAACATGTACTGTTTAACCATGAAATTTAAATGTCATAGGGTAAACCCCAGTGCATTTAACATAATGCTGCACTTTAGAAAATGGGTTGAAATATAACATGTTGGTGGAGCTGGGTTCCGACTATCGGCTTGTGGAGCTCTCGGGAGACCTCTGTTTTCCACCCGTTTCTCCCCTCCCCACAGTTCGGCGCATCTCTGATCGCCGCAGCTCCTGTCTGCTGCGTGGGCTGCCGGCTTGTGGAGCTCTCGATGGAAACCGGTTTTCCACCCGGTTCTCCCCTGACCATTTCTGGATGTTACAGTGAAAATAAAAGATTTATTTAAAAGCTGGTTTTTAAAAGTTTCCAGACTGTCAATACTATGTAAGGATAAAGGGAGATCATTCCAAAGTCAGGGTTCAACACTCTGGAAGGAGTGATCACCTCGACTTTTATATCTGGTCTTTGGAACTTCTAGAGGGTTCTGGTGGGTGGACCTGGCTTGGGTTGGAGCATATGGCTTTAACTGTTCAGTAATACAGGGAGGAGCTTGACCACGTAGAGCACTGAAAGTTATAGTCAGGATTCTAAAGTTAATGGGTAACCAGTGCAGACACACTGAAACTGCTCTGCTAGCAGTGACCGCATTTGATATTTACAACCACGGCTTCCATTTGCATATACTCTATAGCACGGGCATCACAGGGAAAGCACACTCCTGGTTTGAATCATACCTGACAGGACAATCTTTCAATGTATCTTGGCTCAGACAATCTTCTGCTGTTAACTATCTTGCCACAGCTGTCCCCCAGGGCTCTGTACTAGGACCTCTTCTCATTGCCATCTATACCACCTCAGTGGGTGAGATCAGTCACATGGCTTCTCCTACCTCTGCTATGTAAACAACAACCAGCTCTATCTCTCGTGCCCGCCTGATGACCTGATGAAGTCTCTGCACAAATCACTCTGACATATCAAGATGGATGAAATGTCACAATCTCCAACTCATCCTCTCATAAACCGAATTACTTGTCATCCCAACGAAACCATCCATACGGCACAATATCTCAATCCAAAATTATTTCCTGTCTCTGGGTCTCTTACAAAGGCAGTTCAAAATTTGGGTGTTGTGATTTTTGACCAGATGAATTTTAAAGATCCCGTTGCCTCTGTCGCTTGTTCATGTCGCTTTGCGCTGTATAACATGAAAAATCAGACCATACCTAACACAACATGCCACCCAGCTCCTGGTGCAATCTACTGTCATCTCCCGCCTCGATTACTGCAATGCCCTTCTAACTGGTCTTCCAGCCTGTACTGTGAGATTTCTTCAAATGGTCCAGAATGCAGCGGCGTTTCTGGTCTTCAATCAACCTAAAAGAGCACATGTCACCCCTCTTTTCACTGAGATCCATTGGCTACCACTAACTGCATGTATCAAATTCAAAACACTAGCACTAGTCCGAAATTGTACGGCTCCCATCTACCTGAATCCTCTTGCAAAGGCTTACGTCACGGCCCAGTCGCTCCGGTCATCAAAGGATTGTTGGCTAGCAGTGCCTACACCACGCTCAAGACAATCCAGACTGTTTTCATGTGTCATTCCACAGATGTGGAATGACCTACCAAGCACTACCAGACCAGGGGCTTCCTTGTTGATTTTCAAGAAACTCCTGAAGGCCCAACTCTTCAGAGAGCATCTTCTAAACTTGTACCCTCCCTGAACCTGTCCCTCACTCTACTGCTCACTCCTTGTTCGCTTACCTTTATGATTGATTATGCTTCCTCACTGCCACCTAGGATTGACTGATTAGTGTTTGTTGTTAGCCTAAAGGGCAACCTGCTGGCATCACTTGTAAGTCACTTTGGACAAAAACGTAAATGCTAAATACATCAACAAACATTAGAAAAGGAGTGATGTGAGCTCTGTCACACAACCTCCCGCTCAGCCGTCAACCTCCTCTAGGGAGGCACCGCAGAGCCGCTCAGACTCCATTACCCAACATCCCTAGCGCCAGGTTTTCCGTTTCACGTCACCCGCCAAACCTATATAAGGAAGTGCCGCACAACGCCGGCTCACTCAGTCATCGTTCTCACCGAACTT